AAAGTTGAGGCCCCGACTCCCGAACTAGCAATAGCTGTGTGTCGGGAATCAGTTTCTTCCCATTTCCATTAAATTACAATTACAAAATGGCTTATCAGCTTATCACAACACAGAACACGGTAACAAAAATAAACACAATTTTTACAAAGCCAAGAAAAAATAAAAAATAAAAATATGCATGAATATGTGACACATGAAACTTGGCTAAAGAAATACCAAATCTTAACCAATTTTTTTTAGGATTGTTGCGATTTGTCGAATTATACAAGAGTTTTGCCATTCCTTATTCCGCCCACAAGACTGAATGGGATGATTGGGTTTCGAGCGCCATTAGTCATTTTGAAGATTAGTGAAGACAAAGAGCCAGGCAAAAATTTTTATTTTGGTAAATAATTGTATAAAATTTAATAAATTCGTGTTTTAATTGCATGCAAATAATCTCTGAGCGTTATAAAAATGCAGTTATTTTGATATTACAGAGGGACATTTCAATTTTGTTTACCTATATGCATAGATAAGTAGTATAACGTAAAAGGAAATAAAAAGACAAAGCGTAAAATCCTTAACAAATATACCGGCAGTAGAACAAGAGTAACTGACAACGGATCCGTAAGCCGAAATAACACTGGGTCAATCATATAACTCGGAAAGCGATACAAGAAAATGTTTTAAAACTTCAGCCTTCGCTTTTAGAGATAGAGTCTAGTTGCTGTTATATTATGGTTGCAGCAAGAATGAGTCGACTCGACCGGAGATTGACTAGTCTCTCATAGAATGCCAGCGTATATTTTTTTATAGAATTGTGTGACAATTAAACATACAGTCCACCTGATGGTAAGTGGATGCTGTGACCCATATACATCCATTTTTCATCACATCACATTTATCCTCAATTAATAATCAAAATGCAAATGCGTGAAGGGGTGACAGCCCCTGAGGACTAAGATGGAATGCGTCGATTCCAGTAAAAAAGGTTTACACTCATCATACTAGACACAGCAGCATTATGCTGCTATTTATACGCTGGTATTCTGTGAGAGCGTGGTCCTGTCCCGGTTAAGCTGGCCCATTCGTGCTACAAATATAGTTAGCTGCAGCGTGACTGCACCACGTAACCTAAAATAGTAGCTTACTGCTGATGTGTTTCGAATGGTAAATGTAGGGGAAACGGAGACTCTTCTAACTGGTAAGAGCGGATTCTATCTTGTCCTTAGGGATGATAACGCATCTTAATTTTTAATTAAAACTGTACTTGATTAAAAATTAATTGTTAATCAAGTACAGATGTAGGTGCCTATGCATCACAGCATTCTGTAAGCCGTGTGCTCGTTTGACACTCTTGTTTTATATTCCATAAGTGAAAGCGTAGCGCTACCCCCGCAACATAGAGCGACGTCCTAACGACGTATGCAGAGAGTCGATGGATGCAGGTGACTCAGGACCGTATTTTACGGTATTGAAGTCAATTATGGATGTGTAGTTGAAAGTATATATAATAATAATAATATAAGTACAATGGTAAAAGAAAGTTTTGCTTAGCAGACATCCTTATGACTTAGATCAAGCATATGTAGATTCGGAGGCATCTAATAGGTGGCTTGTATGTGGTTACTTATTCCCTGAAACCGAAGGCTTCATGATAGCAATACAGGATCAAGTTACAAAAACGAAAAATTATCAAAAATATATAATTAAAAATCCTACAATAGTAGACGATAAATGTCGAAAATATCACAAACAGCCCGAGACCATTCAGCATATCACAGGAGCCTGCCCAACACTCACGTAGACAGATTACACACACAGACACACAGGCACAACCAGATAGTAAATATAATACACCAAAAATTAGCAATTAAACACAAACTCATCCCAGATACACATACGCTCTCACAGTCGCTCTTGAAAATACAAATTATAAAATGTACTACGACCGTGCTATTCCTACAGACAAAACCATGCATTATAATAGACCGGATGTTACGCTCCAAGATAAAATAAATAAAACAGTATATATAATTGATATAGCCATACCTAATATGCATAATTTAATTAAAACTATAATCAAATAAATAAATAAATAAACACACAGAACTGAAAGAAGAAATAACAAAAATGTGGAAGATAAAAAAGTTTTTATAATACCCATAGTACTTTCTACCACCGAAATAATCCAGAAGCACTTACATCATAGTTTGAAAATGCTAGACATATCACCGAACTCATACAAACCAGAAATCTTATATACATGTTGCATCGTTTGAAAATTCATGCAGGAAGACAGTAATATAGCTTATCCCCTATTACAATGACGGTTTTGGTTTCAACCCGTAAACGGAATTTAATTACCAGCTTTTAGCTGAGAGAAAAAATTGTAATAATGAATGTATACTTTGTTGTCTTTTCTATTATTTGCATATTATCAAAATTCAGAAACGAAAATAAAAGCCTGTTTACTGTCACAAAATTAGAACAGGCATTATATATATATATATATATATATATATATATATATATATATATATATATATATATATATACCAAACTTAATAAAATGCTAGAGATACATACTATGACGCCGCTGACTAGATAGGCATAGATACAAACAATAAAACGGCAAACACAGAACGTGAGTCACGATCTCGACATGCCTGTCCCGCTGGCCCAAATCATAGCTCTTTGTTAAAGATTTCAGTTACACGTTTAAAACTAGCTACTTATATTTAAAATTTTAAAAATAATCAAGATATTGTATTAAGGGTGAAGATATTGACGTGGTAAACCAAGGTGCACATGCTTTGAAATTCAGAATTAGCATGCAATTTTATGTCAATTTCATATGCCTTAACCTAAGACAAACCTCACAGAAGTGAAGGCAGGCCCGTGCCCAGTCACGCTATGCAATGGGATGTATTAAAACTGTAAATTTTAATTATCTTACTAAGTACATTAGAATGTCAATTTGTTAATTCTTGCGCAGTGTATATATAGCGTATAGGTAGCGATAAAAGACCATGATATTTGAACTAGGCAGCTCATCTTTCTACATGTAGGTATTAGTCAATTTAATTCTGAAACTAAACTAAATAGCGTTTTTTTTAATAAAACTGAAGTCAGAAACGAACTTACAGTCCATCTTCTTCTTCTTACTTCAGACAAAAAAGAAAAGATGCGGTGTCAACTCTGAGGAACAAGATCGAATACCTCACAGTTGTATGTATATTGTATATAACATATCATCAAGATTTAACTTTAATCAAAGGATTTATAAAAAGAATGATTTCAGCAAGAAAAAATGTTTGTTCATTTTATATGCGCAATTCTGTTCATTCACAATCACCGAATAATTCCCCTTGGGTTAACGCAAAACGCTACAGTAAATGGATGCTTTACTGTAGCGTTTTGCACACCAAAGATGTTATTAACTGTGAGTAAACAATGGATATTAAACAGATAACGCCAGCAAACAAAACGTTTCGTTTTTCAGTCTGATTAGTTTTATTAATTTTCTGATTCATTGAAGAGTTGGTTTATCACTGTTATCGCAGAGTCCAACATCTACGCGCACCTCACACTCAGCTATAAGATAAGATTAGTCAGTTTACGGCTTTGCTAATGAAAAATGTGCAGTTGAGTGGCGTCCATATTTTCAGTGATTTAAAAATTGGTAAGTTTAAAAAAAAACACGAACGATATGTTTATATAATGAACACCGATCGATAATAATAATGTGATATAACACGTCATCTCATTCATCGCAAAGAAAAAAGATGTCATATTTATTTATAACTTATTTTTATGTTCGATTTGAATTTTTATTAAAGATTTAAGTCTTTTTAAGTTAACTAAAAATATTTTATTGTTAAAAGGTGATTCACAGACATAACTATTTCTCTTAAATTAACATGGAAGTATGAACAACTTAGGCATTTAGCGATGAAACTAAGCAAGTTTTCTTGTTATTGTGCTGCAATAGCCTAGTTTTTAGTTTTGTGTCATGGCGTAGATATTGTATATTTATCATTAGAAGAAATGTTATTAGATATATTTTTGTCAATATTTTGTCTATGTTGAATACACAAAACTTTAATTTACCTTTTGATTACACACAATATTATAAAAAAATTATTATAAAGAAAAACTAAAACTAAAAATTTCAATTGTCTTAAAGTACTACACCCCGTGGTATCGTGCCAAGAACGCTGGCTACGTTCCCTCCCTAAATGACCTTTGAGCCTTTGAGCGAGAAAAGAACCAGCCGTCTTATACCAGCAGCGACGACCAGTCGCGGATACAGTTCCTTTAGGAACTTTACTACACGTAGACCCCACGGAACGATAGTCTCTACAGCAAATGGCACAAATATGTAGTCATTTCTCAAAGACTCATATTTGCGACATTTACTTAATTCAGCTGTCTCTGACGCCGCCCCGACTCTAAAAGAGGTACCCCTGAGATGAGAGGCCCACGCATGTAGCATCTCACACTAGGGCTTTACCTCTCACCTAAGGGACCAAAGTCATACCGTCGGAACTCTTCCCATCGTCTCTATCTTTGTTTCTGTATATATATATAATCTTTGTTTCCGTATACACTTTCCGAAATATTTCGGAAAGTATACACAGAAACTAAATGATAATGACTACGAAATCAAAAATCACAGGCATATGTATATTAGAATTGCATTAGTAGTTTAGGCATTTAAAGCACGACACAAACACGACTATCGAAACTGGTGAATATACCTATCCATTTTTGAATAATATTCTTCAATTAAGCAACAAAATACTAAATTAATGCTTGCAGTTTTAAATTGCTAATACTCGTAAAAAAATTGACGCATAATTTTGAATCTAGCGAAGTCCGTTTATAAAACCGATATTAACACAATTTTTTTCTTCAAATTAAAATAACGTGCAATTAAATTATTTTGTATAGGTACTTAACCTACTGTTAAGGAATAGATATGGCAATATTATGGTAAAGTTGTGTGAAATAAAATGTCTGATAGTATTAAAGAATTGTGTAAGAAGTACGAAGAAAATGTGGCGGAACCGCACGCAAGGAGCATTGGTCAGTATAGTACCTTATATTTAAAATTAAATAATTATTTTAGCACAAGTGATGGTATCTTGTATAACAATGTCAAAAGCAAATAAAATACCTGTACATTTATTTCACCTGCTTTGGATTTTAATTTTTTTATGGGTTTTAATTTTCTTTTACATTTGGAATTGAATATTGGATTTAATATTCAGTCCTTTAATATTCTAAAGTTTCAGCTAAATAATAGGAAAATGTATATACCCGTTTTCACAAGAAAATCTCAGAAAATAAACAAGCTTTTTAAGTAAGCTTGTTATCGACAAGTTTCAAAATTTTATAACACAAAGATTGTTTTGTATAAAAAGGTGTTTTATTATATAAAAGGTTACAAGGATGATAAATAGCCCCTAGGAATAAGTATATAATTAACAAACCATAATAATGTAAACTGTTTACAAAAGTCCCGCTGGGGATTTTTTTTGCTTCGTTTCCTTAGAGCCGAGGTATTTTCCAAACCAGTGGTTAGTTAAAAAATTTGTGTAAAAATATATCCTTTTCCATTTCTACATGTGCTTGGGTCCATAGACTCTGTTTTTTTCTTCTTTTTTTTAAAAAACGTTACCCCTACACTAAGATTTTCTCTTGTATTGTGGGAGCAGTTTACAAACATAAATTGCACAAGGACGAACATCCAGACCCGGAACAACTACTTGTAGGCCATACAAATACTTGTTCCGTGCGGGATTCGAACCCGCGACCCCCAGCGCAGCCACTCATTGCTAAGCCACTGCGCCACGGAGTCGTCACGGAGTTTCTACTGTATTTAAAAGTATTTCTTTTGAAGTCTTAGTTTCACTACTAATATTAAAAAGGGACTGATTAATGCTAATGATATAGTTATAATTGAAATGTCTATAGCGTCCGCAATTTCCCTTTCTCTCCTTATCACGTTAGTAAACGTCTCGCATATCTCGGTAATAAAGACATTGTATTTATAGCATAAGGGTGACAAACGAGCACACAGTCCACGTGATGGTAAGTGGATGCTGTGCCCCATAGACATCTACATTTATCCTCGATTAAGAATCAAAATGTACATGCGTTGTCACCCCAGAGGACTAAGATGGAATGCCTCGTTTCCGGTAAAAAAGGGTCTCCGGATCTCTGCGCTCATCATACGAAACAGCAGCATTACGCTGCTATTTTATTCTGTGAGAGCGTAGTCCTTCCCCGGTCGAGCCGACCCATTCGTGCTACAACCATAATATAGCTGCAGCGTGGCTCTACCACGTAAGAAAATCTACTGGGTATCGTATTAGTATTCATTTTTTCTTTTAAACTGTAACCCCCAAGGATTTTCTCATGTATCGTGGAAGCAGATTACATACATAAATTACACAAATACAAAAGGACAAACATCCAACCCGGTACAATTATTTGTAGTCCATACAAATACTTGTTCCGTGCGGGATTCGGACCTATTTGTTCTACCACATTATACACCCATATTGTGTTAAATTATACCCATAAAGGTGAAAAATGATGATGAAGTTTTTAATGTAACTATTTAAACGACAATCTAGTAGAATAATTATTTCTAGTTGTTACCTTGAGATTGTTACATTCCTTAGTTGTCTTAAAAGGGAAAACCTCTTAAGCTTTTAATAAAAAATAAAAGACAACTTCAAAAACTATGAATAAAATAATTTTCACAAAATGCAGCTTAAATTCTTCTATATTATGATATGTCTTGGATGATATCATATCGTCATGCATCTATTTCAGGAGCTATATAATAATTTATTATTTTTAGATCTTAAAAAAGTCGACTTTAATTTTGTATCAAACGTATAATTTTAATGTATAATAACCGTTGTTAATACATACGTATAATACGTTTACATAATATAATATAATTTCATTAGACATTCAATTGGAATTGTATTAAATAGTAATTTGTCCAAGAAGTACTACTATTTCCTTTCAAGTTTTTCCAATTTGAATTTCATTTTCATTTTATTTAATTGCAGGGTTATTTCCAATCCCTGAATACCCGGAGTTCGAAGCGGAGCGAGGCATGTGGTCTACCGCGCTCGACGCAATCCTCACGACCCTGCGTTACTTGGCGCCGGCTACACTACTCACCTTACTGTGGAGCCAACAGAGCTTCATCTTTAAGCTACTAAAATATATCAACACTGCTTTTAGATCTCGTAAGTGTTCTCCTTTTTAATTTTGTATGCCTGAAAATAAGTTATGACAATTTCAAATCGACTAAAATCGATCATACATCATCATAGCTTTGAACATAGTTACACGTATAACCTATAAATTTTTAGGTTAGGCTTTTCATGATTCATCAAACCTTGAGGGCATGGAGTATAGAGGTAAGGAGGACAATCTCCCATAGGAGAATAGTTGAGAATGTGTCCATCTGTAAGCAGTAAATAACAGTTCAAAAACTCTCCACAACAGCCCTCGAGTAGCTACAGGGTTATGAAAAAATCGCCGTAAAATAAGTTGAGAGAGATTTTGAAAATAAAAAATTTGAAAGCAATAAAATAATTATTCTATAAAGAATTATGGTGAAAGTCTGTGCAATAAAAAAATTTAAAAAGTTCTTTAAAATTTAGACTGTAGCTACAGTGGCGCCACCCTTATTTAGCGCTTTCCTACGGACACTTTTATACAGAGTCTGTACTCCTTACCTCTACACTCCATACTTGAGGGATTTCCATTCCCGTCCCCCTCCCATCCTCATCTAAAGCATTACATCTCAATCCTCAAGGGTAACGGTGCCTCTGCATTTTACTCCCTAAGCGAATATAGAACTAGGTATCTATGGGGTGTATGACCTAAGTAACCATGTAGTGGCAGAATAAGAATTTCCACTACCACTTATCATCCCACGAGTGTCTGAATATACGTGTTTCGGAAATTAATAAAAGTAAATTTAATATTCAAAACATTACATGAGCGTTCCAGGTGTGCACTTTTGGATTTTCCAAATATATTTATATATAAAGTAAAGTTACAGCCTATATACGTCCCACTGCTGGGCTCAGGCCTCCCCTCATTTATGAGAGGGTTTAGGGCAAGGAAGTGTCCGCCGCGCTGCCCAAATGCGTGTTGACGAACTTCACATGTCTTCGAAATATTTTTTTTCTTATTCCTCAGACATGCAGGTTTCCTCACGATGTTTTCCTTCACCGCCGAGCACGTGGTAAATCAGCACTTAAAATTGCAATTAACAATTTCAATTGGTGCCGGCGGGGATCGAACCCGGGTTACTCGCGTTCTGTTATATTTACAGCGAGCGTTAACCACTGAGCTACCACGGCTCTATTTATATATGTTCTCTCTGCCGTCTAGTGGCGGTGTAAAATATCCACTACCCCATATCGTCCCGTGGGTGTCTTAAGAGTCGACAGAGGGAAATTGAAACAGAGTTGGGCAGCAGCATCTTCCTGATTACAACTGATTTTTTTTAAAACTACGTTTGCCAATCCGCTTGCCAAGCGTGGCAACTCCTATGGCAAAATCAAGTGTACCGTGTAACTACAACACGCACTGACACGTAATTGTGCGTCATTAGGATAACGTTATCAGCATTAGAACACATTGCTTAATCCCTTGTTCTTAGATCTAGAGGACAAAGAATTTAGTCACAAGTGACTGCAATTTAAATTTTTCCTAAACTTTCTGCGACCGTATGCCATTTGTTAATTACTTGCGTGTTGCATATTGATTAATTAAAGTATAAAGCAAAACAGCTAAACACAAATTATTGGTTATATGGTCTGGTTCTATTGCGAATACCTTTCTTTTCTTCCTACGAGCTTATCGCATAATTTAGAAAAGTTTCGTCACACTTGGCGGGCTGTTCCCGTCCCCGATATGGATATTTTACATTCGACTTGAATGAGTTGGTCTTTTTAAAATCGCAAACTGGACTGCATAAGCTGAATCCTATACCTTTAAACGAGCAATTCTTGTATATATATATAATCGGAATCTCGGAAACGGCTCGAAAGATTTTCATAAAATTTTGTGTGCAGGGAGTTTCGGGGGCAATAAATCGATCTAGCTAGGATTTATTTTTAGAAAATGTCTTTTTGTCCGTGTTTTTAGGCAATGAAAAACTGCTACAATATCGTTAGAATAAGAAGGTAAATTTTGACAGATTATTAATGATTGCAAATAGCTTAATTGATACATTGGACGGTCACAAAACCGTAATACCAAGGTTCGAGCCAATACCGACCACCGACATTTTTTAATTTTTTTTTCAAGTTCCTTTCTTTTTTGAGAAAATCTATTTTTTCGAGCCCTTTTTTAGTATTTTTTGAAAACGCTAAAATTTAAATTAAACTAATTGCACTCATGATTTTTTATTCAAATAACCAGTTCAGTTTTTTCTATTATGTCGCTACGATTAAAAAATATTATTCGTATTTCATCAGTATGTAATTTGTATCTAAATATAATTTCCAAAACATACGAATTAAAAAAAAACCGAGCGAAAAATACCGAGCAAAGCTCGGTCAATCGGATACCGTTTTATTAGGAAACAAAAACAACACTACAGGCCACCTTATAGCTTTGGTTGGTTGAATACTCTAAAGGAGGCATCATGTATGAGGTTGATGCATATCCCCCATCTACTACCAATACTGCATTACCATATGTACCATATTCAAATTGTGCTTTCCTGTAACTATTGTTAAATATGTTGCTATCATGAGATGATCCAGGCCATCTAGCTACTATATCTATAATCTCAAGATTAGCATTGCAGATTGTCTGCACATTTATAGAGAAATATCCTTTTCTATTACGGAATAATTCGGCTTGTTCACCACCTACTTGTAACCGTAACGGAACAGAGGCAATTCGAATATGTGTGCAATCCATTGCACCGATTACTCTTGGAAAGCGGGCTATCTGATAAAAGTCTTCTTGTACTTTCCTTATTTCAGAATTTGTTTCAGGAAATTTTATAAAGTCTTTGTGTAGGGAGGCTATTGCAGCAGTCACTTGATGTACAATTTTGTTTGCAGTGGTGGTACTCATACCTCCATAGTCACCAATACTCATCTGCGTAGAATTAGTTGCATAGAACCTCAAAGTTGCTAACAACTGATTTATCGGTGATATGGAGAAATTTCTGTAAAATAAAATTGATTATGTTAGAATCAAGACCAATGCAGTCACAAACTGGCTTAAGAATGGGTCGAACATTCTGGAGGTAGACCACCAGCCATTTTGAATATTGTTTTAATGATAAAGTTTATAAACAAGTAGGTGGACGGATACTGTACTAAACAGGTAGCTACATTATTTATAGGTAAGTACCAGACAATGTACCTACTCACCGGTTTGACGAATATTCCAACTTATGCTCAATTTTAGTTAGTAAACAAAGAGTGGCCTCCTTGGATAGACGAAATCTAACAGCGAAGTCTTTGTCATCATAATCTTCGAAGTGATTAGCTCTCTCCTTTATCCACCTTGGACGCCTTGGCACATAATCATCGTCGCTATCAGATTCTTCGATTATATTTCTCAACATTTCCATTTTGGCTAGCTTTTGATTTAAAACCACATAAAAACAAGGAATATCAACACGGACTAATGATTTTTGACAAGATAAATGTACATAACCTAACATTTTGACATTTCATTATTCCTGGTTTAAGGTTTTACTCCACCAAAATCGGCCGTATAAAGTATACTCTCGTGTAGTGACTTTAGCCATGGGTTAATTATTGGTAGAATGCAAATTGAGCTTACTCTCGAGTAAATAGCAATTTATTCTAAGAATAAAATTTACTCTCGTTTGGTCGAATACGCCCTAAGCCTGATAGTAAATAGCTACTGCAGGACGCAGGATGCCTGCAACCAAAATCAAACAAAAAAAAATGCAAAAGATGGGTTGTCATCTCTGAGGACTAAGATTGAAACAGAAGTGTAGGCACTGTTTCTTGGCGGCAAAAATTGAAAAGACTGTGGTACCCAGGCGGCAGAAAGTAAGTATGTCCAATACCCACCACGTTACACTGACGTGTTGGTTAGCACTGATCCGATACTGGTGGCGCTGCTCTCCTTTAGCGGTTTATGGTATTTTCCAATAGTAATACTGTGGCCGTGGAAGGAAAAGGGGAGATCTCCCGCCGGGCAAGGTATTATGCCCGGGGAGCGGCCAACGCTCCGTGTGATAGTTCGGAGATGTTCTATATATGCTGTTTATGATTCGGAATGTTGATAGCGTGATTTAGGCTTCGGTATGTTTCGCTTGCGGCGCGACGACAGCGCCGCCACATCACCCCCCTGCTCAGACCAGAGGTGGATAGTGCAGTCCAATTGCAGGTGCGTCCTTGATGCCGGTGGGGAATGCATGCTGTGTGCGTAAGGGCAAGTGACACCGGTGCGAATGATATGCCGATGTGTAATGCATGCCGTACTACGCACTGGCAAGTGATGGCGGTGAGAACGATGTGCCGGAGCAAGTGCTAGAAGTCTGCCTTATAAATCTGCGGTGAGTCGAGATGAAGACAAGTTGGACTTTCTTGCAGGAACTGAAGACTGCAGAAGACGATTCTCAGTAGTGAATGGTAGGGGTTCTTGAGGATAATGAAGAAGGCTCGAAGTTGTAGTTTCCGAAGGTGTTTGGTTGCGTGTTCAGATCACGTCGGGTGGTCACCACTGTAGCGGTATGGAAGGAAAAGGGGAGATCTCCCGCCGGGCAAGGTGTTGTGCCCGGGGAGCGGCCAACGCTCCGTGTGATAGTTCGGAGATGTTCTATATATGCTGTTTATGATTCGGAATGTTGATAGCGTGATTTAGGCTTCGGTATGTTTCGCTTGCGGCGCGACGACAGCGCCGCCACAATACCGCCCGAAGGAAAACGTCGTGAGGAAAAATGCATGTCTGGGAAAAAAAATATTTCGAAGGCATGTGAAGTTCGGCAGCGGATATTTTCTTGCCCTAAAACCTTCTTAGAAATAAGTGGAGGCCTTTGCCCAGCAGCAGTGGGACGTATATAGACTGTAACTTTAACTTTTTAATTTTAATACCGCGTACATCGTAAATTAGATAAGAGCCGTGGTAGCTCAGGTGGTTAACGCTCGCTGTAAATATAACAGAACGCGAGTAACCCGGGTTCGATCCTTGCCGGCACCAATGAAATTGTTAACTGCAATTTTAAGTGCTG